CTAGATAAGCCTATTAAGCAGCATTTGCTCTGCCTGCCTGAGACCAGTTGCCCAAGTCCTTAAGACACGCAATTCGACAGCACATCAATGCACAGTCCACGTTCTGGACGTCCCACTCAGCGCTTGCGGTTGGGGGAGGTAATTGTGGAGCCATAAATCTTAAGTTCACGCGTATATTGGCTTATTTCGCTGAGCCCCAGAATTTACCAACAAATTAAAGCGAGAGTTAGAGCAAGAGAGAGAGAGAGAGAGAGAGAGAGAGAGAGAGAGAAAAAGAGACAGCAGCCAGAAAATAAAAAACGAAGCGCGTTAATTCTTAACCAAAAAGTAAACCTGCGTGTGTGTAAAAAATCGATTGATTTGAAAAGGGAGAAAAAAAGCAATTAAGGTCAATGCGTTGCTGTGAGTTGTCCTTTGATGGGTCGTAACTACCTCAACTTTTTCAATTTGCCTTTTGTCCGGCGCACGTCGAACAACTGACCAAAGTTATCGCTCGGAAGAAATCGAAATTAGGCCCAAAACTGAAAGCGAGGGGCAGCGGTTGCCAGTTCAATGCCACAAGCGATAAAACGAATTTAAATAGGGCAAACAGAAATCTACCCAAAAAACGTATAAAAAAAAACCAGAAGTAAATAAAAAGTAAAAACAGCAAAGGAAATAAAGTTTTTCTTTTGTCGTTCGCCAGAAGCGAGGACAACAAACAGACATTGTGCAATGAAGCATAAGAAAACGGAAAAGGCTAAAACAACCTAAACATGCTGAAAAACCCACAATTTGACCAAAAAGAAAAAATGTTGCTTGATTGAATTTCGGGTTAACCAGGTTGCGCATACGCCACGTTGTGCGGCATGTATGGCCCATATATGGCTTTGCTTTGAGACCCGTTTAATTAACAAAAATGCGCAGCACTTAAAATTAATTAAATTATCTACTAAAAGGGATTTCAAGAGGACAATAAAAACACACACTTTTATTGCCCAAAAATGTGCTATGATTTGTTCTTTTTAGCCTTCTGCTGTTGCCGTTGTTATTCTTGCCTGGGCTTTAATTTATTGTTTTAATTTTTAGTCTCGCAGCAGCCACAATATTGCCTCGCGCTGTTGCCGTCAACACAAAAGGCTCGCTTCTGAGCTCAGCAAACTTTTGCCAAAGTGTTAAGAACTCGTGTAAATTCCATTAAAGCCTCAAGGAAAAAAGAAAGAGAGAGAGTCTTACCCCAGGTCCTGGCAACTCTGTCATATTCGATAAATCAAGGGCGATAACAACAACACACGCAAAGCAGCAGCAACAACAACAACAACAATGGACATTAAAAGCAGCCCGCAAACCGCCTAAAATTATGCAACACGAGTTATAAATATGCAAATTGTTCGAGCCTTACTAAACTAAACATAGTTAATTAGCACGCCTGACAATTTTCGCTGGTTTCCAAACCCTGTAGCTGGGGAAAGCATAGAGTAGATATTCATGATTAATAATGAAATCCTGCTGCAGAATTTGAACCAGAAACTTCACAGAAACAAGCACACTTATAAGATTTCGTATTGCTCCATTTTAAAGCCGAATTTTCCAGAATCTTTAAACATCTAAATAAATATGAAATTTTGGAAAGTCATAAAATAAATATTCTGAATAAAACCCATTTATGATTCAGAATCAATAGTCTAAAGAACTATATAAAATTCTTAAAACAATCTATTTGCTTCAAAGAGAGTATTTATCATTCGGTCTGACTCCCTATCTCTTCCTATATTTGCGCATAATTTGTGAATTCTATGAATTTAGCGCTTGTTGCTTTTTAATTAAATTCGTGGCGTAGATCAAGAATGAAGCTCGTTAGGGCTAAACTGACGACAATTACAACTGCGACATATTCGCCATAAATAGCTTAGCACAAGCCCCATGGCCATTACGCATACTATGCAATTTTCACTTGCTTTCACGGCCTTGACGCCGTGCCAAAACTCATTAGCCAAAAAATGTTGTTCATTAGCAGCAGGTAAAAGTAATATGTGACAGCTGGCCATCAAATCCCATCATCGTATCAAACATAAGGAAACTGCGCTAAATATATGTGTTTATATATGTATTTTGATCAAACAATCAGAGCGAAATGATCTTAGAGATAAACAAACGAAACACTTAACCCTTATGGCCAGGCATTTAACCCAGCCACATGCCAAAATAACAACAAAAATAAAGAGCCCAAGTAAATACGCCGAAGAGCAGAAAAACAAAATAGAAAATTGCGTTGACATGGTTGCATTTTGGCAAAGCAACAGAGAAACAGAGAATTTCTCTCGCCTCTTTCCTCTTTCGGTGTCGTAATTTTATTTTTCAATTTAGCAAACAACAAACACAACAACAAGGGCAACAACGAGCCAAACAAATGCTGCCAATAAAATTGATCATCATTCAAATGCACACGAGCGTAAATTAAATACAATTAAAGCTGTTCTCAATTTTGGCCATATTAGCGAAAATATGCAAAATGTTTGCCGAAAAGCAAGCGAATTCAGAAGCAGAAAATGAGCGAAACTTAACAGCTTAAATGTTATCAAATAGAATTACGAAATGGCTGATAGCAAATTTTTACTAGGAAATGAAAGGCTGGATTCCGTTGACATTAGAAAAGGGTATTCCCGAAATTAGCAGCATAAGTAATCATATATGATATTAGTTTTCACACTTCTATACAAAATGTATAAAAAGAACTAATTATACAGTTCAAAATAACGATTGAAAAACTAAGTGGGGTGTTCCCGAAATTGAATAATATAAAATAGTACAATTTATTCTATAAAAAAAAGTATTTAAGGACAACTAAAAACAATGTTCCTGAAAATTTATAAAAATATTATTTGGTAAGAAATAACCCCATTCTAAGCAAAAGTTAAAAAAAAATATAATAAATATGCCTGTATTAACAAGTAAATAAATAACATCAATCAACAAGAGTCTTTCAAAGGTTAAGGCATTGTTGTCGTCGATGCACAGTTGCTTCTGAATATAATGCTGATGACTAACTAAAGCCCAATAATTAAATTAATAATTTAAACAGCCAAAAAAGCAAACAATAAAATGAAACGTAACTGACAAACGATGACGGCACGTGGTCATCAGTTGTTTATGGTGGGAGGGCGGTTGTTGACAAAATAAAATAATAACCCCTATACTAACTCAACTGAAATGGCAATTAAAAGCACATTTTCATTTTCGGCTCCCACAAAACATGGAACGGAGAGAAACACGAGAACCGGAAATCGGCCAAACAAAACAATGCACAAATATTTGCTCATTAACGCTTAATTTTAACAGAAATAAATACTTTATGATTGAGATACTTACGCGCAAGCTGGAAGTAAGAGAAATGAATGGGGTGAAGAGTTTGGGGTGCTGGGAATGTTATATAGACATTATTTATAGGTATAGGGGAAGCCCTGCGACTATATGTGCGACGCCCTGGCAGACTATAATTTTCGCTAGATTTCTGTAAGAAAATTATCGATAGTATCTCATTTTATCAACATCAATAATTATTTAGTTAGCAGTCGATTACTATAAACATATACTTAAAAGCATTTTGAATATCTTAACTATCAATTGAGATTTTTATCGATAGTCGTATCGATAATTAATTAATTGTGCATTTTTATAACAGTTTACGTAATATAACATTTTAACTATCTTAACTATTAATTGCGATTAATGATCGATAGTTTTCCCGATTATTTTAAAAATGTGCCTAACATTGGCCCTGGTAAAATTTCAAACTGTCAAATGCATTTTTTTCGATAGTTTAGTAATCGATTATTTGTATTGTAACTGGGATTTGATATCGATAGCTTCATTCTTACTATTTTCCAGCTTTTCCTTATAACCTTAACTGTATAACTTCGAATGTAAATGTCACAACTCCGTTAAAAACAGGAGGTTTCTCTTGGACTTTTATTTATTTATTTATTTGATGGTGCTTGCGGCATGGGTCACTCGTTAAAAGGGCTCGACACGTACCGAGCATAAACAATTTCCATAATGCACGCACAAATTAACGGATACAAAAATAAATATTCTTTATTTTATTCATAAATGCGTGAGGCATGTCGAAAGGGTACATAAAAATACAAATTTACGTAAGGCTGGCCGCATAAATAAATATGCTTAAAGGACACGTGTACCAAAGAACTGGCTGTAGGCAGAAATTTGTGAGATATTTTGAGCCGCAGACGAAAGTTAATTTTATGTACTGATTGAGTATACGTCGTGTTGCCAGGCACATTTTTCAATCAATTGAAGGAAATGGTAGGCACTGTCATACAGAACGACAATATCTGTGACAGTAATATGAAAGCGTGATTGACTTGGAGATGTCCTGTGCGGAAGTAAAAAAAGTTTAAGGACAATACGTTCATGAATTACATGGCATTACATTAACTAAAGCTACTGAAAATGTGAATATACAGTAATAATTTGTAGGCTTCTTTAACCTTAAATGCTATATACCCCCACTTAAACGCGTTTCTTTTGTTCTGTTCATATTTACAGGGTATCAAAAGAGGCAGATTAGCAAATCAAATCAAATCAATTCTGTTGACTGCGGCCTGCCGCTGACTGACACAATTATTTGTGCGTTTCAGATGAAAACAAGAGGGAAAACGCAAGCGGAAAATCTCTGTGCGTCTCTATGTAAATCTTGTCCCTGTGCCGTTTGCAGTTCAATGAAGCAGCTGTGAATGCTTTGTGGATACGCGGTCTGCGGGCAGGGCAGAGTATTGTGGGTTAAATACGCTTGATTAATTATAAAATTGCGGCAATGCAAATTACCGCCTTTAGGCAGCGTTTAATTAAATGATAAAAACGCGAACCGCCTTCGACTTTGTAAATGAGCAAATATTTGGCATTGTTTGGCCGATTTCCTCAGCTCAATTCAGGCTCATTAATATAACTTACAAGACTATATTGGTTAGTTGAGATAGAAACTGTCAAACGATTGAACTCACCTAATGACATAATTAACGCAGACAACGCTCTGCGGCTTTAGCTTATCGTAAACAATCGTCGCCTGCGTCACGATCCAGCAGTAGCCGCCAAATTTGCCCAGTAGACGATAGCGACACGTTTCGCCCTGTCCCTTGCTCAGCACTGCAAAGACAAAGAAGTGTTAGAGATATACACATTAGTTGAGTCCAATACTCTAAATGTAAGTCAAGCTCTTGACTTGACCAAACAAATCAAATCAAGTTACAAAAAAGAAAAGAAAACAACCACTTGCGGCCGACAACAAAGCCAAGAGCAATAGGAATTATATCATTTGAAATTGTTTTTTGCGGTTTAAGTTTCTGTTTAGGTTTTTGTATGTACCAGGGTTGGGTATTAAACATACAAAACCACACACATAATCTTGGCCAAATATAATTCACAAAATTTAAGTTAAAACTAGAATTGATAAATGCGAATGCTTGCCAATTTATTGTGAATAATAATATGCTTATTGTGCTATGCTATGCTATGCTTATTAAGCGTATGCCATATGCTCTGAAGTGCTCCGGTCGAGCTTACCCAAGTGACAGATACCCTACACCAGAGTAGACCTAGGCATTCGCACTTGCACAAACACAAACACAAATAATATATAGAGCTAGTCGGAAATGCCTCCTTTTACCGAGCACACACATTAACATAACTTTCTTCAAGAGCTTTAACCAATTGCTAACGCCCCTTTTTAGTTCACCAGCCAATCTATATATCATAGCCATATTAGGCATCTATTATTATAAATTTAGATTATAATAACAGTTATTAACATTTTGTATGCACTCAAGCAGCCCTGGCTTTGGTTTTGTGCTTGAATTTTCAACAACCAAATAGGCAAGTTTCAAATGACGTTTGCCAAAGGCAGCCAGGCATAAATATTAAATAATAGCCGGGCCACAAAAACCGCTCGAGGCAATGTTTTATAAGCGCTGAGCTAAGCAATGCCAATTTGTGTTGTGCCTTTAATGTTGTATTTAAGTGCGGAAAAGCCGTGCTTATAGAGTATAAGCTGAAGAGCGACGATTTTAATTAAAAAATCGTGTAAAAATTAAATCAAATAAATATGTGTGCAGGGTATTAGTGGTGTGTGTGTGTGTGATGAATGTGCGTATGAGTACTTGTATATATATGACAAAAAGACTTGCTGCTACAAGCTTAATAAAAATTTAATGCGCCTGCAAGCAGCGCACAAGAAGGACATAAAATAACACACGGCTTGATGAAAATTCATAAGCCAAAGACGGCGGCAGACAGAGTTGAACAAGTTTGCAGGTTGGAGGGGCTGAAGGTGGGTTGGGTGGGGTGCTGGGCATATACATAGCAATTGAAATTCATGGCCTTTAATGCGTTAAAGCGAGGCCGCAGCTAAATGTTATGCGTTTATTATTAGACCCGTTTTGAGCGAGCCAATGGCCAAAACTCAGGTAATTGCCGTTGCCTAATTACAGGCGCAGCTGCCGCAGACCAAATAAGGCAATGGTCTCCTCCAGAATAGCATCCCTATATAGCATATATATATTACATATATTTATATATATATACAACACAAATAGCTACACTTAAATTGAATTCGTAAACTGTAATGTAAAAGCCACAAACACAAATCCCAATGAAACATGAGCGAAAACTGAGGCATCGCTGGCTTTTTGCCATCATTATGGCATTTAGATTTACCTATATATCTCTATATATATATATATATGTATGTGTGTGTATGTAGAGTGAGATATATACGCGTGTATTTAACTCAGTCTCGCATTCACTCAGTCATTCATTCAGTTAATTTGAAATCAGCAGCAGAAAATTAGTTTTTCTTTTGTGCCAGCGCTTGCGGCTTAGTGGCCTCGTGTTAATTTCAGTCCACGAAAAGCGCCGCACACACTGCACAGTGGTGCGCAGTCTATGAACAAGTATGCAATATTAAGAGACTGATAGAAAATTGAAGACAATTTTAGATTAAAATATGGAATTGTAATTTAAACTTAATATTCATATTCAAATACAACTAAATATTAGATACATTCAATTACTGAATACGACTTCAATGAAATTGAAAAAGAGTATTAATGTCAAGTTCATGTTAAGCAACCTCTTTAAGAAAATTTTTAATATTTTATATGCCTAAAAGTTTGTATTCCCACTTCTTTAAATTGTTTTAGTTCCTAATTTGTATAAAAATGGAATTTAATTTAGGTATATATTATATTTTAATTATAGCAACTCAAAAAAAAAGGTATTAATATACCTAGATACGATATTAGATTTTGCAATGAAAGAAGTATTGGGAAAAAATTGTCTGTTAGAATATTAATTATTAAATAAATATGTTTGAGCATATGCAAATTAAAAAATAACAATTGAACTATCGTCAATCGTTGATAATCATTGCCAATCATCGGTGCTTAGAAGAGATAGTTTTCAGAATCTTGAATGCAAATGATAAACAATTTTAAAATAGTTTTTCTTTTTTCAATCATAAGCAATTGGTTTATTTTTAGAAAAAATATTCATATAATTAAAAACTGTAACCACTGTGCGCAGGGTCTCTGCCACAATTCCGGATAATAATTATGCTGGGCCATTAATAAGGCAACATCGAAGAGGCTTGTTAGTGTAGTCACGAAAAGGATGTGTGCCACATGTGAACAGTGTATATCAGACGCTGGCGAGGCAGAGGATGTGACTTTGGCTGCTGCCGCTGCTGGATTAGGATGCGCGCAAAAGTATGCAACATGAAACTGTGTGCTGCATGTGCAACATTCCAGGCACGCGGCGTCTGCCCGGCCAGAGCCAAAGAGCTCAGACGATTTGCCAGTGTTTATGGAATTAGCAGAGTGCAGCTGCCGGCTGCTGACTGCTGTTGCATTTGCCATGAACTTGATTTGCCCTTAGTCAAGGACTTTTGCCTTGCCAGAGTTCCCTGCTAGACAAGTTTCAAGGCAAAATATTAAAATATCTACGCGCACAGCGACAAAAGATCATTTATCTAGAATTTTTAGCAACACATTCCAAAGACGGCAGCAGTCAGTGAATTTATGAACACGCAGCCAGAGCTGCGGGCGGAAGAGAGGTGAATGCAGACAGACAACGAGCAGCCATTTGTACAAATAAGCAAACAGCAGCAGCAGCAGCAGCAGCAGAGGAACAACAGCGGAAGGATGCTCAAGGAGCAGCATTGGCAGCTGTAGTTCATTCCGCATTGAGATTGAGATGAATGCAAGGCAAACATTCAAACCGCATTCGAACCGCATTCAAGGTTATGTATCAAAGTTGAACAAATAGCAAGGAGCCAGCACAGGTTGCAGCCAGTGCTGCACATTTCGCCTGTTTCCGGCCAAATCTGACTCCTTTTTTGCTGAATGTGTGATTGTGGCAGAACTACTAGCTATGTAAAATACTTATATGTCTATGTTTTACTAAGCTTGTTGCACTATCCGCAAGGACAAACGGATTTGCCTGTATCAACTCGGCTGCTGATCGAGAATACATATTCCCTATGTGGCTGGGGATATGCCCTCTACAAGGGCATACAAATTGAAAATGCTGTTGAATTTCAACCAGCAACCGTTCGTTTTTATTTCGATGCTCAACTTCAAAGCTGAAAGTTCTACTTATATTCGTTACCTGCTACTTATATTCGAGCTAATGGCATCTATATACATGTTCGATTAGCAAATATAGACTTAAATGCTATTTTACAATAATAAATCTGAAATATTAAGAATTTTAACAGCTGCCAAATTTACTAAGCTTCAACTTGTTGGGATTTAAAAGCGTCCAGCTTAAACAAAATAGCATTTTCTTCGACTCACTTTTTTAGCTTCAAATTAATTTTTATTATTTTTTATGTTTTAAGTTGGCTGCACTAGTTGCACGCACACACAGGTTGCACTGGGCACTGGGATGCAGTGCAGACATGCTCGAGTACACGACTAAATCCTTGAAGCAACATAATACTAAATCATCGTCAACACGCGCTGACCAGAAGCCGCAACAGCAACAACAACAATTGACAATGGCAGTTAGCCCAGGCGCTAGTTTGCTTTCATTTGATTGCCCAGCATGTGTGTGTGTCTATGTGTGTGTGTATGTGTGGGAGTGTGTGAGTATGTATGTGCATAGTGTATTTGTGTCCATTTCAGTGTCTGCTAGCAGCGACTTTTACTGCTGGCCAGGGCCAAGACATTGCCTGGCCAAATCGCATTGGCACAAGTGGATAAGGAAATAAATGTTTGGCTTGTGCGCAAGGATGTGCGCATAAATCAAGGATTTGTTTGCGGATTGTTTGGCCAGGCGAATACCCAACAACCCAAACAACCGGCCACCAGCACACACCGTGCTACAAAAGGTAGTTGACTTGACAGCCAGAAAACTTGAAGCTACGTAACTTTTGCGTAGCCATTGACCTTTGGACATTTATTTTTTATTTTTGTTTCGCAGCCCCTCTCCAATCCGGCCACGTGGCGTATACGTAATCTTTTTTAATTGAATTAAGCCGTGACATAAGCCCAACGCAACTGCTTTAAAGCGCTCAAGAACTTCTGACTCCTGAACTGACTTTATACATATGTATAGGAATTTATATGTGCATATATAGAGTATATAAGATATATATACATATATATATCTAAACCAATTTATGCAAATAGCCGCGCACACTCCGCAGCGCAACTCAATTGCAGCTTATTGAAAAGCATCTTCAACAGCGCTGTCAGCGTCCTGCGGCTGCTGCTCGTGTCCTTCATAAACGCCCGTTGAAGCGTTAAATTGCATTCACTACCTTTGTTGTTGTTGTTGTTGTTGTTGTTGTTCTCCTTAGTGCTGGCCCAACCAAAGAGCAAGCCGTGCAAATCCGTGCAGCTCAGCGTGCGGCAAACGACATGAAAGGGTTTTCGGCCATAATGCCAACTAACGACTGCTCTGAAGCAAGCCAAAACAGTGCACGGATTTGTGCCTGCCTTAAAGGCGTTCGTCCTTTGTTCAACAAAGCCCGATAAGCGGCTCTAACTCAAAATCTGGTCAATACGCAACAAATCGAATGTGTTTTTTAACTGTGTTCAATATAAGTATGGATAAACATAAACTTATGGATATTTGCTATAGCTGAA